TTCAAGTTTTAAGGCTGTAAAACGCAAATAAACGAGGAACGGTCATGGTGGGAAGTGACTATGGTTCCTTTGGTCGTATTTGAAGTCCAGTATAATTTTAGGCGATCCGGGTTCGGGGGCTCGGGCTCACAACGGAAGGCGCGGGCTGTAACACACGAAAATATGGGAATCAGGCGGAATTCATGTTTTATGGCCGTAAAATGCAAAGCAACGAGGAATGGTCATGGAGGGCCAGTGACTATGGTTACTTAGATCGTATTTGATGACCTGGAAAAATTTTAGGCGATACGGGTCCAGAGACCCGAGCCTACGGCGGAAGGCGTGGGCTTTAGCATCTGAAAATTGGGGAATCGGGCAGAATTCAAGTTTTATGGCCGTAAAATGCAATAAAACAAGGAAGGGTCATGGAGGGGCGGTGACTACAATTCCCTAGGTCGTATTTGATGTCCCGGAAAGATTTTAGGCGATCCGAGTGCGGGGGCTCAAGCCCAGGCGGAAGGCGTGGTCTGTAGCACAAGAAAATAAGGGAATCGGGCGGAATTCAAGTTTTATTGCCGTAAAATGAAAAACAAAGAGGAACGGTCATGGGGGAGCGGTGACTATGCTTAATTAGGTCGTAATTGATGTCCCAACATTTTTTTAGGCGATCCGAGTCCAGCGGCCTGGGCCCACGGCGGAAGGCGTAGGCTATAGCACACAAAAATATGAGAATCGGGCGGAATTCAAGTTTTATGGCCATAAAGATCGAAAAAACGAGGAACGATCATGGCGGGCCGGTGACTATGGCTATTTAGCTCATTTTTAATGTCCCGATAAAATTTTAGGCGATCCAGGTCCGGGGACCTAGGCCCACGACGGAAGGCGTGGGCTATAGCACACGAAAATATGGGAGTCGGACATAATTCAAGTTTTATGGTCGTACAATGCAAAAAACGAGGAATGGTCATGGCAGGGTGGTGACTCTGGTTCCTAAGGTCGTATACTATGTCCAAGAAAAATTTTAGGCGATCGGAGTCCGGGGGCCCGAGCCCACGGCGGAAGGCGTGGGCCATAGCACACGAAAATAAGAGAATCGGGCGAAATTCATGTTTTATGGTCGTAAAATGCAGAAAAGGAGGAACGGTCCTGGAGGGGGGTGACTATGGTTAATTAGGTCGTATTTGATGTTCCGAAAAATGTTTAGGCGACCGAGTCCAGGGGCCCGGTCCCGCAGCGGAAGGCGTGAGCTATAGCACACAAAAATATGGGAATCGGGCGGGAATTACCATTGTTATGTTCTTTGTCTTTAGCGGCTTGTGATAATATTTCTTTCGTGAAATTTTCCATTTCTATTTTATTAAGTCTGGTCTTAATATTTTTTAATTCTTCTTTTACTGATTTTAATTCAGTTTGAAGATGTTGAATAGTAGGTTCTTCATTTTTTTACTGAAAAGTTTTTTTAATGGTAGAGATAGCCTTTAAGGTTACTAAAGGTTTTGTTTTATTTATAAGGTCTGTTATTTCTTTAGAGGCCTTTTCTATAGTTTTCAACCTAATTTCATCATTAGGGAAATCAGTTTTAACTTTTAGAATTTTATATTCATTTTCTAATTCTATGGTCTTATCATTACTAGTACTAGCTTGTTTTGAAGTTGTACTTGGTTTTGAAATAACCATTTTTGTTTTAAGTTGTTCTTCTATTTTTTTCTCGAAGACTATCTGAAAAATCAAATTGTTCTTTTAATTGTGGGATTTTTTCTTTGGAAAATTCAGGGATTTTAATTGTGGGATGTGTTTCAATAGTTGTTGGTACTATAGATTTAGTGGGGATTCCTATTTTGTTAGTATCTTTTAATTGATTAGATACTACATGTAATAGGTTGTTGGTATAATTATTTTGAACAATTATTTTTATTTAAATCTTTTGTTGGTTCGCTATCAATGTGAATAAGTTTTGATATTATAGTTTTTTATAAAATCAAACTTGCCAGTATGATATATTGTGTTGAAGGATTCTTTTGGAATACTCTAATTTTGTAAATCACTTTCAATTTTGGCAATATTTGTTACTGCCAAAGATATATTTACACTGTTAAGAGTATTATTATTCTCGAATCTATTCATTTCAGAATTGAGAGGTATATCTGCTGATGCAGATATTTACAGTTTTTATATTTTGAATGAGAATAGTTTTTCGATTTTTATAACCGATTAAATTATCACTATAAAAATTAATTTCTCTAGTTATTTCTAGTAGAGTTTGCACTCTAGGTCTGATGTGAATAAGTTGTTTATATATGTTTAGACTATTCTTACTTCTTAGCACAAAAGGCTTTTGATTTTATTCTTCTAAGTTGCTTTAGAAACAACCATCTTTGTTTATTAAAAAAGCTTACTCTGTGTAATGAAGGATGTTTCATAAAAATTTTGTTCAAAACTTATCTTTTTTGAGAGTCTACTTTCTTGTTTTCTAATACATGACTATTTATCTTATTATATCTTACTGTTCTTGACTGTATAATGTTTAATCTTTATCTACTTCTTTACTATATGATTTTCCAGTTCTAAGTTATCTTGGGGGTTGAAAGTTAAACGTGTTCACTGTGTCCTGTCTAACTGCGGCTCTCCTGGCCTATAACGACGACGGCAACTGACAGCAGCTTAATAGGATTTAACTAGCTCTCACTCAGAGACCCTCACACTATGAACTGAAGAAGATCATAAAGCTATGAAGGAAATGGCGGTGCGGTAACTATGGTTTCTTAGGTCATATTTGATTTTTCGAAAAAAGTTTAGGCGATCCGGGCCTGGGCGTTCGGGCCCATGGCGGAAAGCGTGGGCTATAGCACACGAAAATAGGGGTATCGGGCAGAATTTCAATTTTATGGCCGTAAAAGCCAAAAAACGAGAAATCGTCATGGCGGGACTGTGACTATGGTTTCTTAGGTCGTATTTGATGTCCCAAAAAAATTTTAGGCGATCAGGCCCGAGGGCCCGGGCCCACGGCGGAAAGCATGGGCTATAGAACACGAAAATATGGAAATCGGGCGGAATTCCAGTTTTATGGCCGTAAACTCCACAAAACGTGGAACAGTGATAGCAGGATGGTGACTATGGTTTCTTAGGTCGTATTTAAGGCCCTGAAAAAAATTTAGGCGATCTGGGTCCAGGGGCCCGAGGCGGTTGGCGTTATCTATAACACACAAAAATATGAGGATCGGGCTGAATTAAAGTTTAATGGTCGTAAACGCCAAAAGACGAGGAACGATCACGGCGCGACGGTGACTATAGTTCCTTAGGTCGTATTTGATTTCATAGAAAATTTTTAGGCGATCCTGGTCTGGGGCTTGAGCCCACAGCGGAAGACGTGGGCTATAGCACACGAAAATATGGGAATTGGGCGGAATTAAAGTTTTATGGTCGTAAAACGCCAATCTAGGATTTGTGATGGCGAGATGGCAACTATGGTTCTTTAGGTCGTATTGCATGTTCCGAAAAACTTTTAGGCGACCCGGGTATGTGGGCTCATGCCCATGGCGGAAGGCATTGGCTATAGCACACGAAAATATGGAAATCGGGCGAAATTTCAAATTCATAGCCGTAAAATGCCAAAAAAGAGGAACGATCATGGCGGGGCGGTGTCTATGGTACCTTAGGTCGTATTAGATGTCCCGAAATTTTTTTGGCGATCCTGGTCGGGGGGCCCAGGCCCATGGTGGAAGGCGTGGGTTATAGCACACAAAAATCTAGGAATCGGGTGGAATTCCAGTTTTATGGTCGTAAAACGCTAAAGAACGAGGAATGGTCATGGAGGGGCGGTAAATATGATTTCTTAAGTCGTATTTGATGTCCCAATTAAGTTGAGGTGATTGGGTTCGGTGCCCGGGCCCACGGCGGAAGGCGTGGGCTATATATAGCACACGAAAATATAGGAATCGAGAGGATATCCAATTTTATGGACGTCAAACGGCATAAAATGAGGAACATGCATGGAGGGGCGGTGATAATGGTCCCTTAGGTCGTATTTAATGTGTCAGAAAATTTTTAGGCGATCCTGGTCAGAGGGCCCGGGCCCACAGCGAAAGGCGTGAGATATAGCACACAAAAATATGGAAATCGTGCGGGATTCCAGTTTTATGGCCGTAAAATACTGAACAACAAGGAACATTCATGGTGGGGCGGTGACTATGGTTCCTTAGGTCGTATTGGATGTCCCGAAAATGTTTTAGGCGATCCAGGTCAAGGGGCCTAGGTCTAGGGCAGAAGGCGTGGGCTACAGTACACGGAAATATTGGAATCGGGCGGAATTCCAGTATTATAGCCTTAAAACGCCAAAACACGAGGAACGGTCATGGCGTGGCAGTGAATATGGTTTCTTATGTCGTATTTGATGTTTTGAAAAAAGTTTGGGCGATCCAGGTTGTCACACCTCCTTTTTAGCCGAAAGGGATATAAGGGAGTTTTTCCAATTAAAGTGACATAATCAAAATGAGATTATTTATTTAAATTCAGAGTCGCCACATGAGATAATTTATGGGGTCCCAAGTCATCGGTTTAAAATCCCGAATTGAGGAAGTTTGACTCTGTTTTACAGTTCGCGAAACAGAAGACTAGGTAAGGAATTCTGTTAACTCGGAAGAAGGTGTTAGGCATTCCCTGGTTCTGTGGTTTTAGCACTGTCACTTTAATCATAACTGGCTTAAATAAATTGTTTAATTACTCATTTTAGAACCTATGTGCATTTTTACCTTTTACCGCTTTTTAATTTGAAACGAATCACGACGGGTATTCATGTGTTTGGTTATTCATAATTAAGGAATTATCTTGAAACGAGTCGCGCGTATGTGTACTCATTTTATTTGGCGCGTCAAGAATCACGTCACGTGTACGTGTACACAATCCACAATACTTAATTATTTAAAAAAAAAAAAAAAACTTGGCCAAAGTCGCACGAACGGTACCTTCCTACATCAACTAATTTTGGATTGAGAGTTAGCTACTTAATTGATTTTGCCATACTATATGCACCAAACTTAAAGTATAACCACTCTTATATCATTTGCTTTTGAACAGATATACAAAGATCAAAAGACGATTGATTTCATTATCAATCGGTTCAAACTTGGTTCAGAAAAAGCCAATAGTTCCACTTCCACAGCAAAGAGAGAAGATCAACCTCTTGATTCCTTTCCCTTCGAGAAATTGCGCTTTTGTGCTCCTCCCCTGCAATATACAAGTTTTCCTTCAACTACACCTCTTATTTCTCAAGTATCTGAATCTAGTGCTAATCCTAGCATTCAAGGATCACCCACTGGTTCCATTCCTTCAAATGAACTTACCTTAGTGTCATTCAACTTCTGACCATCTATCGCGAAACTTACCTTTAAGCCAATGTAGTGACAGGTATTTATTTTGAAAAATCGTAATTATGTCACGCGAACGTGTACACAATCACGATGATAGATTAAGTCGCATCTAAAGCCATTTCCACGAATGTTCATTTTTAAATTGTACTCGTGTCACGCGAACGTGTACACAATTAATAACATTTTGTTATTATTAAGATTGTTTCGCCCAAAGTGGCGCGAACGCATACCTTGGTTTTAACTCTAACAAAATAAGTAGAGCTATCAATGACCGTTAAAGCATACTTACTGCATTCACACACAACTTAATGGACAAGATATCTCAACATAACAACCAAATAAAAATAAACAAAACAAAGTACTCTGAATTCTATGAAGCTGAATATGATATATTATTATACTTAAAATGTGAAGTATACTTATAACATATGTCTGCACACCACATATAATTCCAAAAAATTTCCTTGAAATTGCATAATAGCACAACCAATTTTGAATTCTTAAGAGGAGGAAGTCATTTGTTTATTGTCAGAGAAACCCAATAGTAAAACCAAGCGAAATGCCAAACATGGATAATTAGTGTAAGAAGCTATGAGTTAATCACAAACCATAAAGAGAAACAGTACCTCAGTTTGATCTATAAGATGACACAGATAACATATGAAACTGAATTTACAATAACCCATTCTCCATTGTTGAACACCTTAAAACTCCTTTATTGCTGCATATTCTTCAATATATACAGTGGAAAAAAGAAAATCTCTGATGCAAAATGACCTGAACCTCGAACTAGCGCCCTCGACCGGAAAATGGTTACCTACTGCCACTGTTTCAGCGACGGCATCAGTGCCAGGAAGCAAAACTTCAATGCAAAACCAAGAAAAAAAAAACAGTTCTTCCTATGTCTCCAATCCCCTCTTTAGCTATCTCCTTTGATTTCTTATGTTGGCATGGAAATCAATTTAATTTGCTTCATATGATTCCTTTAAATCCCTTGTTTTCCATTGATTGCTGAAGCAAAAGATTATTGGATTTCCGAGAAGTAGTAGGCGGCTGAAGCTTTTTGGATTTTCTTTAGGGGTAAAGGGTGCGGCTGGGTGGCTTTCTTAGAATGAAGAGAGGAGTTTGCCGGGTTTTCCCCCCAGTGAAATTAGGTTGGCCGCTCTTAGCTTCCTTTTTGATGAAGCCGTTTTCTGCCTGTCTTTTTTTCTCTGTTGAAAGAGATGAGAGTCCCTTTTTTATTTAGGTTTTTTCTTCTTTTTAAAAAAAATCTGATGGGTGATCTCTTAGGGTTAGGTTAATGGGTTAATTGGGCCATGGGGTAATGGTGTAGGGCTGTTTAAAATTGTACCGTTCCAATCAAAAATCTTAATTTTTTTTCTACAAATAATATAAAATATATACTACTTATAAAATACATAACTAACTTTAATTAATTCAAATAAATTATATTATATTGTGAAATTATTTTTTGATATTTTTCAAGATTATATAAAAATAAAATAGATAAATATAGGTGAAAATAGTATTACTACATTAAGTACTAATTAACCTTAAATTAAATAGACTTGAAACTATTTTTGTGTTTTTAAATTTTTTTTAAATACTAAATAAAATAACAATAAAAATAGTATATTAGAATCCTAGAAAAATACAAATAACTCAAATAAATTATAAAATATGCGAAATTGGTAATATAGCTTGAAGACGTGGCGGGTCAAAAATTACATGTCTACACAGGTCCGGGGACCCTGGCCCACAGCGGAAGGCGTGGGCTATAGCACACGAAATTATAGGAATCGAATGGAATTCAAGTTGCATGACCGTAAAATGCCAAAAAACGAGGAATAGTCATGGCAGGGTGGTAACTAATGTTCCTAAGGTCGTATTTGATGTCCCGTAAAATTATTAGGCGATCCTGGTCCAGTGTCATAGGCCCATAGTGGAAGGCATGGGCTATAGCATACGAAAATGTGGGAATCGGGCGAAATTATAGTTTTATGATTGTAAAAGGACAAAAAATTAGGAACGGTCATGGTGGGGTGGTGATATGGTTCCTTAGGTCGTATTGGATGTCCCGGAAAAATTTTAGGCGATCTGGGTCCGGGGGCATGAGCGCAGGAAGGAAGGCGTGGGCTGCAACACACGAAAATATGGGAATCGGACGGAATTCCAGTATTATAGCCGTAAAGCGCCAAAAAAGAGGAACGCTTATGGCGGGGCAGTGACTATGGTTTCTTAGGTCGTATTTGATATCCCGAAAAAACTTTAGGCGATCGGGTCCTGGGGGTACGGGCCCATGGCTGAAGGCGTGTGCTGTAACACACAAAAATATGGGAATCGGGCAGAATTCTAATTTTATGGTTGTAAACGCCAAACAATGAGAAACCATAATGGCGGGACGGTGACTATGGTTCCTTAGGTCGTATTTGATGTCCCAAAAAAATTTTAGGCGGTCACGCCCGAGGGCCCGGGTCTACGGTGGAAGCCGTGGGCCAAAGAACACAAAAATATAAAAATCAAGCGGAATTCTAGCTTTATGGCCGTAAATGCCAAAAAATGAGAAATGGTCATGGCGGGATGGTGGTTATTGTTCCTTAGGTAGTATTTAATGTCCCGGAATTTTTTTAGGCGATTCGGGTCAGGGAGCGTAGGCCCAAGACGGAAGGCGTGGGCTATAGCACTCGAAAATATGGAAATCGGGCGGAATTTCAGTACTATAGCCGTAAAACGCCAAAAAATTAGGAACGGTCAGAGCGGGGTGGTGACTATGGTTCCTCAGATCGTATTGGATGCCCCGAAATAGTTTTAGGCGATATGGGTCCGTGGGCCTTGGCCCACGACGGAAGGCGTGGGCTGTTGCACACGAAAATATGGGATTCAGGCATAATTCTAGTTTTATGGTCGTAAATGCCAAAAAACGAGGAACGATCATGTCAGTACGGTGACTATGGTTCCTTAGGTCGTATTTGATTTCCCGAATATTTTTTAGGCAATCCTGGTCGGGGGGCCCAGGCCCACGGCGGAAGGCTTGGGCTATAGCACACGAAAATATGAGAATCGGGCGGAATTCCAGTTTTATAGCCGTAAAATGCCAAAAAATAAGGAATGGTCATGGCGGGGTGCTCACTATGGTTCCTTAGATCGTATTAGATGCACAAGAATAATTTTAGGCAATCTGGGTCTAGGGGCCTTGGCCCATGACGGAAGGCGTGGGCTGCAGCACAAGAAAATATGGGAATCGGGCGGAATTCTAGTTTTATGGTCGTGAACGCCAAAAAATAAGGAACAGTCATGGTGTGATGGTGACTATGGTTCCCCAGAACATATTTGATGTCTGAATTTTTTTTAGGCGATCCTGGTCCATGGGCCCACGGCGGAAGGCGTGGGCTATAGCACACAAAATTATGGGAATCAAGCAAAATTCCAATATTATAGTCGTAAAGCGCCAAAAAAGAGGAACGGTCATGGCGGTCTGGTGACTATGGTTCCTTAGGTCGTATTTGATGTCCCAAAAATTTTATAGGCGATCCTGGTTGGGGGGCCCGGGCCTACGGTGAAAGGCGTGGGCTATAGCACACGAACATATGAGAATCGGGCGGAATTCCAGTTTTATGGCCGTAAAATGCCAAAAATAAGGTGCTGATTATGGTTCCTTAGATCGTATTTGATGTATAGGAATAATTTAAGGCGATCTGGGTGATGTTTTGCTTAAAGTATATATATTTGTATGTATATCGCCTCATATCTTACTTTTGTTTCATGAATTTAGGATGTGAAATGCATTGATTTATATCAATTTGATGTGTTTTTATGTGTAGGAATGATCTTGGAGAAATCGGGGGTGATATGTGCGAAATTAGAGCCAAAACGGACAAAAGCAGGAAAGTTGGACATTTCAGCGCCATAGGTGGCGCCTAGCCCTACCTATGGCGCCAAAAACAGTAACAAAAAATTGGCAGCGCCGTAGAGGGCGCCTGGCGCTGGGCAGGGCGCCAGTGACGTGAAATTTGTCCAATTTTGACCGGGACAAGGTTATTTCGGCCCTAGACCTACTCAACACGTATAAAAGCAAGACTAAACATATTTTTGAGGAGGGATACGCCACTTGGGAGAGATCTAACACACTTTGAAGGAGAATTAACGTGGAGGAACACACACCATGCTTGGAGGAGACTTCTAGCTAGTTTTTCTTCTCTTCTCTTCTTTTAATCTCATAGTTTATTAGTTCTAGTGTTTTGGGTGCTACATGAACGTTGTAGTTTGAAGCTTGAATTGTTTTTATTATTTTATCATATTGGTTTATTTATTCAATTTTGTGCTTAATTGTTTGATTACTTGATCACCAATTGAATACTATCTACGGATATAGGATTGAACCCGGGAGAGGGAATTCTGGATTGCATATAAGATTGAGTAGAGCAAGATCTTAACTCTAGGGTGGGGGTGGGGGCAGATTTGCGATTAGGATAGGAATATACCTAATCGCCTTGCTTCGTTATTATACAGGAATTATTAATGCGTTATTGTTAATTCTAATTCCATAGGAATATAGGCGTTAGGTTAGCTTGAATAGGTGAGTTGTACTTCGGGAGAAGGCTACGAGCAATATTAACCCTGTCAACCAATAAACCAGATAAATTAATTAGACGATTTAAGTGGAAAATTCAACAGGATTGTTAGCCAACCCATAGCTCTAGAATATTTACTCACATTGAATTCGTCTCTATAACTCGCCACTTGTTTCCTTTAATCTCTTTGTTTGCTACTCCAGATTAGTTGTAGTTAATTAATCACACTTTAGAAAATTGCTTGAATAGATTAACTGTTTGGTTTAATTTAGTTGATAGTTAATCACAAGTCCCTGTGGGTACGGTATCTGGACTTACAATCCTATATTACTTGTCGACCACGTATACCTGCATGTGCGTTTGGGAGCAACAAGTTTTTAGCGCCGTTTTCGGGGACTTAGAAATTAACTATTCTACTATATTAGTTTTTTACTTCTTGTCTATTCAAGTTTTTTAATTTTTAGCTTAGTTTAATATTTACTATCTTTGTTGATATGGCATCTTGGAATGATAATTGGTCGAATATTGGTTATTCTTATTTTGGTGATCCATGTCCATATTGTGGAGGACCACACTTGTGGCAAAATTGTGAATTTCAATCTTATAGGTGGAATATTTGTTATGTGTGTGGTTGTCAAGGTGGCCATTGGGATGACTGTCCTAATTCTTATTATCCCTCTCAGAACTCTTATTATAATATTTCTAATAATGTTTATGAGTTTGATAGGAGCAAGGAAGCGGAGGATATGGAATGTGTGGCTCATATTATGGACATGATGCGGCAAGCAGCCGAGCAACAGAATATGATGATGAGGCAAATAGACGAGCAACAAGTTCTTGACGCCTTAGCGATCAAAAGAATCCAGGCTAGAATGGACAAATTAATGGCCAATTTCCAAGAAGAACCTCAATTCGATGTAGAGAGCGAGTTCCAACAAGAAGACTGTTTTGAAGAAGCAGATATAGTGAGCAAATCTTGGCTAGAGGAACAAGCTCAACTGATAAAATCTCATGAGTTTCTCCGTGATGGTCTTTCAAATATGACATAACAGCTGATAGACGAAAGGACTGAGCTCAGGCAAGAGATAGACCAATTTGGCTTAGATATCCATGAGCTGCATGATCAATTGAATAAAAAGGTTGAGGCGTCTGATGCCCTACAACCAATTTTTGTGGATATTGGCCAGCTTGAGGAGCGGAAAGAGGAACTTCAACTATTCGAACAAAATATTATTCATGATACCAAGGTTGAAGAAGAGTGCAAAATAAAGGATGTAAAAAATAATGCAATTTTGGAGTTAGAGCGTATTGGACCTCATTCTAAACACTTTTCAACATTGTGTTAGGTTGGTGACATGAGAATTGATCCAGTCGAGCATATGGAGGAGCCAATGGATGACGAACAAAGTGTTTATATTCTAAAATTTGTCACACCAAGGAGACAAAATGACATTCCTCACTTAAGGGCCAAGAAATGCAAGATGCGATATCTATTGCTTGCTTCCTTTATTTTTACACCACCGCCCAGGAACGTGACACAAAAGTTGATGCAAAATTGGGGGCGCAATTTATAACCTCAAAGTGGAAGGAAAGGATTGTTTGGTATATTTGGTTGAGGTCCTAGGGGCCTCGGGTGCATTTTGGATGCTCGACGAACCATTTTGGACTTAGCAAAGCA